CAGCTGTCAGCCCTGTTGACCCATTTGGCCCAGAACCCCCCTGCTGCCTTTCCCCAAGTGCCAGCTGGTCGAAGGGTACTCCGCCGACGTCCAGAGGCGGAAACAAGAACATGTTACAATTGCCACCAACAAGGCCACTTAGCCCGTCATTGCCGGCTTGCAAAAAACGGGGGCCCTCAGTAGATCGGAGTCCCACTGCTGGGGGGCCAGGCCCAGGCTCCACCATACACAAACTGGTTGGACACTGTCCCACTCTGACTATCTACATAGAAGGTGTACCGGTGACTGCTGTTATAGACAGTGGCTCCCAGGTTAGCACAGTCACAGAAACATTTTTCAACTGCAGCCTAAAAAACATTGTGCTAGAAACAGGCACCCATCTATCCCTGAGAGCAGCAAATGGGTTGGCCATCCCATACAATGGCTATTTTATTACTGACATTGAAGTCAACAAAGAAAAACTTTGTGACAAGGGGTTCCTGGTCATCAGAGACCCAGTAGGCGGCCCAGCTCCACCTTGCCTGCTGGGCATGAACATTCTCCAAGACCTGACCACATTGGCCCATCTGGTCAAGCCACCTGCTGCGACACCGAAGGTATGGCGAGAGGGCAAAGCCCTCAGCCCCCGCGAGAGAACTCTGGTGCCTGCCAAGAGCATATCAACCATTCGAGCGACGGGAGGAGACCCCAGAATGGTGGATGACATGCTGGTACAGCCATTGGAACAGCCATTTCACCCGGACCTGCTCGTGGTGCCAGGCCTAACTTCCTGCCGTGAGGGATTCTTCTCGGTACAGGTGGCTAACCTGTCTGAGGAGCCCGTCTACATCTCCAGTAGGACCTGTCTAGCAACAATCCACCCGTTCGAGCTGGTCCCCCCAAACCTGCAGTTCAGGGTCAACTCTCTGGCTGCTGAGGTGGTCATAGACTCATCCCTGTCCAGCGAGACCCACGATTCCATGCCAGAGCCCTCGTTTTCCAGCATGATGGCAGAAACCCTAGACCCACCACAGCGGGCGGCTCTGGAGAAATTACTCCAGGAATTCACAGACGTTTTTGCTTGGACAGACGACCAGTTGGGTTTCACGGACAAAATTAAACACAGCATCCCACTAACCAGTGACATACCAGTAGCGCTACCCTACCGCCGGCTTCCGCCTACAGAGTTCGCTGCGGTTAAAGAACACATTGAAAGGTTGACTACCAGGGGCATTATCCAACCCAGCACCAGCCCTTATGCAGCTCCAATGGTCATCGTGAAGAAAAAGAATGGCGAGATCCGGTTATGCTGCGATTACAGGAGGCTGAATGGCATAACCCGGAAGGATGCGTTCCCGCTGCCCCGAATTGATGAAACTTTGGATGCCCTGGCGGGGTCAACCTTCTTCTCCACGCTGGACTTAGCCAGTGGCTACCACCAGGTTGCCATGGCTAAAGAAGACCAAGAAAAGACTGCCTTCGTTACTCCCTTTGGTCTGTACCAGTGGACCAGAATGCCATTTGGCCTATGTGGCGCCGTCCAGACTTTTTCCAGATTAATGCAGGGGGTAATGAGTGAGCACATCATGAGAATCATGCTGGCCTATCTGGATGACATCCTGATATATGCCCCAGACTTCACCTCACACCTGGCCAACCTGCGCACAATACTCGCACGACTGAGAGATATCGGTCTCAAACTTAACCCTGAGAAATGTGTGTTTGGGGCGGAGAGCGTGCACTACCTGGGACATGTGGTGTCCAAGGATGGTGTGAAGACTGACCCAGGGAAAATTACAGCCATCAGCGAGTGGCAGCCCCCAAAGACCCTAAAAGAACTCCGTTCTTTCTTGGGCCTTGCCAGCTACTACCGAAGATTTGTTAAAGGTTTTGCCAACATAGCACAGCCCCTTCACCAAGTGGTCACCAATACTCATGAACAATTCGGCAAGCGAAACAAACGGCAGGACATAACCAACCTGTGGGGCCCAGAACAACAGTCAGCCTTTAACCGGCTTAAGACGGCCTTGACCACCACGCCTGTTCTGGGTTACCCTGACTTTACCCTACCCTTTATTCTAGAGACAGATGCCAGCAGCTACGGTTTGGGTGCAGTCCTAAGCCAGAAACAAGCGGATGGGGTGAAGGTAATAGCCTTCGCCAGCCGGTCACTCCGAGTAAATGAAAAAAACATGAAAAACTATAGTGCCCTCAAGTTAGAACTTTTGGCTTTGAAGTGGGCCATGGCCGAAAAATTCAGAGGGTATTTGCTGGGCAGCAAGACATTGGTACTGACAGACAACAATCCGCTTAGCTACATTAAATCATCTAAGACTGGTGCAACTGAGCACCGCTGGATTGCTGACCTAGATGTCTTCGACTTCGAAGTAAAATACAGGTCCGGCAAATCCAATGCCAATGCGGATGCCCTGTCCAGGTTTCCTGTGGACAAGCCTGCAGCCAGAGATCCAGAAGTCCAGTACTCCGGAGTGTACCAGGTCACCACACGGGTCCCACCAGAGGTGGCAATATCAACACCTCAACCTGTCCCTCTGGAGGCCCACTGCAATTTCTTGTCTTCGGCCTTACCGGCCGATGTGAAGAATGCCCAACAGGTAGACTCAACCATCCAGGAGATCCTACCCTTCCTGACGCCCGGCCACAGATTACATTCCTCGACTTTATCACTCCCAGCCCAGATTCTCCTGAGACAAAAGTCGAGACTCAGGTTGAAGGACGGTATCCTACAGCGCACAGTGAAACTGCCAGGTCAAGGGGAAATCGCACAATGCGTTATCCCCAATCAACTACGACCAGAGGTACTCCGTCTAAGTCACAACGACAACGGCCACCAAGGACCAGACCGCTGCCTGCAGCTGTTACGGCAACGATGCTACTGGCCGGGGATGGAGGCAGATATACGCCAGTACTGCCAGGCATGTGACCGCTGCCAGCACGCAAAAATGACCAGTCTGAAGGTGCACCAGCCTAAAGGTCATCTTTTGGCCACCATGCCCCTAGAGGTTGTGGCAGTCGACTTCACCCTGATGGACAAAGCGGCAGACGGTACGGAGGATGTATTGATTCTCACCGATGTTTTCACCAAGTGGACAGTTGCTGTTCCGACGAAGGACCAGACTGCCAAAACCGTGGCGAAGGCCCTGGTGCAGAACTGGATAGTTCACTACGGTGTCCCCAGGCGACTACACTCGGACCAGGGCAAATGCTTTGGGGCAGCCGTAATACACGAACTGTGCGACCATTATGGGATACAGAGGTCCCGAACAACGGCATACCACCCCCAAGGAAACGGCCAAGCAGAGAGGTTCAACCGGACCCTACACGATCTGCTTCGGACCCTACCTGTTGACAAGAAGAAGGACTGGCCTCGGTACCTGACCGAGCTGGTCTTCCTGTACAATACAACCCCGCACTCGTCAACAGGTTTCTCCCCGTTCCAGCTGTTGTTTGGGCGGGAGGCAGCCATCCCCTTGGACCTATTTTTAAACCAAGCCCCTCCGGCAAACAGTGGTGGTGCTGGAGATTACCTCCAGGGCCACCTAACACGACTGGCCAGCCTGCACAAACTAGCCCAGGAGAGGCTGCAAATAGAGGCCACCAAGAGGGACAGACAGGCCAATAACAGGCCAGCCGCTGAACTGGCCATAGGCGACCTGGTCCTGTTAAGGCAGCACCCCCTGGGCAGGCACAAAATGGCGGATCTGTACGGCCCGACAGTTTACGTCGTGGTCGAAGTACCTCCGATCACCGGCGGGTGTTACGCCATTAAGAAGAAAGATGGCCCTTCTGGCACCCGCCGGGTGGCCAGCACCCAGATCAGGAGATATGTGCCTCCCCGGGCTCAACCACCCTCCCCAAGGCCGGTCAAAGTGATACCGCCGGCTACTCCAGGCTACAGCCACATAATTTATAAGGTCCAATTGCCGGGGACCAGAGCAGCCGGTAACCCCACAGTACCTGACATACCTCTGCGTAGGTCGGTCAGGGAGCGCAGAGTCCCTAGTAGGCTAGACTTGTGATTGTGCCCTGTGGGCTGATTTTTTTGACAATGTTTTTTTATAAAATTTATGATCGTGCCCTGTGGGCTGATTTTTTTGCAAGTTCTTTTGCAAAGTTTTGTTTTTTGTAACATGTATGATTATGCCCTGTGGGCTGATTTTTTTGCAAGTTCTTCCTGCAAAGTTTTTTGTAACATTTATGATTATGCCCTGTGGGCTGTTTTTTTTCAAGTTTGTTAGCTTGCGGTGACCGCAAGCTTTAGGGGGCGTGTATGTGAGCGGCTGGAGTGTATTTTTATTATTTGTAACTTAGAAGGCGAATGTATCGTTTCGTTTCATGTCGTAAATTGTTCGTATTTTTTTAGTTGTGTAGTCCCGTATTATGGCGCCGCTGTCTCACTGTTTATGTCCCTGGTTATAGCTAGTTTATATATATTTCGTTTATATTGTTGTCATTGTTTATAGTAAGTGTCTTTTTATAATATTCTGTTGCATGTTTCGTCGTGTTTGGTTTGTTATCCGTGAATTAGGGACTATTTGTTTACGTGTAGCGTGTGAGGTGTGTGGAAGTCGGGTTCCGGCTTGTTGAACTCTGTCTTTTGTGTGTAAAGCTGCGGTGAAGGGAGCAGGCAGTCTCTCTGGTCATCGGGTGAAAAGAATAGCAAATTCGCACCATCCAGCCAGCCTGTGGTTAATGCTTTGTATATAACTTTTCTTTGTAAAGTAATTAATTTATTTGTTTTCCTTTTTCTAGGACGTAGTCCGAAATTGGGTGTTGTGTTTGATGTAAAAAGTTTGTTTCGTTTGGTTCTGTTTTGTGTCAGTTTATATCTATTCTTATTTTATAACTTTTGGTTCCATGCAATAAATTTTATTAACTGTGAAAGTTTTTGTTTTATTTTAGTAGCTTATTATTTAGACTAAGGTTAGGGTTCAACCACTGTGGGTTCTACCATGGTTGCACTGACCGGACAGATTAGTTAGTTAAGCCTAGAAGGGTAGATTTTAAGGTATCCCCCCCTAGCAGGGCTTACATATACACACATAAACACACACACACATACGCATACAATGATTGTACACTCACATACCATATCTTTTACTGAGTAAGTTTAAAGTAAGTTAGCTTAGAGGGGTGGGGGTCTGCCCTAAAGTGGACACATGTTGACGGGGGTGGGGAGAGGAGGATTTGGGTTCTAAGAGAAAGGGTTTTTGTGCGTGTTTGTCATGAATAGATGACCCCTTATGAATCAGATCCCTCTCCAACACCAATGATGGCTATGACAGCAACAGCCAAAGATACCACCACAACACAGTGGACTACAAGAATGACGCGCTTGATTAAGATGGTCTGGAAACAATCAAATTAATTAATTTAAATTTGGAAAAGATGTTATTGGTGCAAAAAAATAACTAAAAATAAAAACCAAGGTTACAAATTTTGCTCACGATAAAAATTAAAAACAAAAATGGAGTCAACCTTTTCAATCTCTGTGCCAGGCGGGTTGAGTTTGGAGTTGTCTGAGCTACTCATTTCATAGACTTCATACGTGACTGTGTTAAACAAAAACATGGTTTGGCAGGTAACCAGCCAATAGGATTTATTTTAACAGGTTACTTTATACGTAAATGAACCAATAAACTAAGAAAAAAGTAGTTTAACTTGTGCCTATTCAGTTGTTAGCCAATATATCACATTGATTTTGTCACCAGAGTTTCTTTCAGACTTTTTTCTCTGGGGGGGGGGGGGGAGCCCTCCCGAAGAAATTCTACCCCCCCCCCCGAAAGAAATGGTATTTATATTAAAATATATACTCTTACCAGTGTAGCCCCCCCCCCCCCGGAGAAAAAAGTCTGAAAGAAACACTGTCACCTACCATTAAGTTTCGTCTACGTATCCTTTTTTTTTTTTTTTACCTTTCCCTTAGTCACCTAAAGTGTCAAGTTTTCCTCACCTATCCTCTTGTCACAGAAAGTGATCAGCTCCAGTAAAATCTCCACAAACAGGATCCAGGCCACATATGCCCCTAAGATATAGACAGTGTAGTAAGGTGTGGCAGCACCTCTAAGACGCACACCAAAGAAAATGGCGATCACTGAAATAGACAAAACACATTTAACATTTCAATTAATGTAGTGAGTTAATATGTTATCATGTGAATGCTAAATAGAGACTAACATTTATTTCTAAACAATTAGCTAAAATATTTTATTAAGCTCATCAAAGAAAACACATTTCACATTTCAATTATTGTAAACTGATATCAAGATGGTGACATTATTTTTTTTTATTATTATTATTGTTTATCTCAAAGTCTTCAACAGAATATTATTAAACAGAATGAAGGAAGCCATAGATCCCCAGCTTCGAGATCAACAGGCGGGCTTTAGGAAGGAAAGGTCATGCATAGACCAAATTGCTACCCTGCGCATCATCATTGAACAGACCCAAGAGTGGAACTCATCTCACTATATTAATTTCATAGACTATGAGAAGGCCTTTGATAGCCTGGATAGGCAGTCAATGTGGAAATTGTTGAGACACTACGGGGTGCCACAGAAAATAGTCAACATTATCATGTCTTCATATGAAGGTCTCAAATGTAGAGTAGTGCATGGCCAACAGACTACAGAGGCCTTCCCAGTACGGACCGGAGTAAGGCAGGGTTGCCTACTTTCACCATTCCTGTTCCTACTGGCCATAGACTGGGTTATGAAGATGTCAACAGAGAAAACGCGAAACGGTATACAGTGGACATTGTGGAGCCAGTTGGATGACCTGGACTTTGCTGACGACCTGGCCCTCCTTTCTCACACACAACAGCAAATGCAGGATAAAACCAACAGGGTTGCAAATTTTTCTACAAGCCTGGGTCTGAACATCCACAGAGGGAAAAGTAAAGTTCTCAAAGTCAATGCATCAAACAACAACCCTATAACATTGGCAGAAGAAGCCCTAGAAGAAGTGGATAGATTCACCTACCTTGGAAGTATTGTTGATAAGCAGGGTGGGACAGAAGCAGTCATAAAAATAAGGATGGGTAAGGCAAGAGCAGTCTTCAACCAACTAAAAAATGTTTGGGGTTCGGGAGATTTAACCCTTAGAATAAAAATCCGGATCTTCAACACACTAGTAAAACCTGTTTTACTCTATGGAGCCGAGACATGGAGAATAACTGCTATAAATAAGAAGAAGATACAATCATTTATAAACGCATGTCTCAGAAAGATCCTGCGAATTCGCTGGCCTAAAACCATCAGAAATGATGTTCTATGGCAACGGACAAATCAACTGCCAGTGGAAGTAGAGATCCTCCAGAGAAAATGGAAATGGATTGGCCACACACTCAGGAAGCCTGTATCCAGCATAACAAGACAGGCCCTCACCTGGAATCCACAAGGCAGAAGGAAGAGAGGCAGACCAAGAAAGACCTGGAGACGTGACCTGGAAGAAGACACCAAGAAGATTGGATACACCTGGGGACAGTTGGAGAGACTAGCCCTGGACAGAGACGTCTGGAAAGCTCTTGTCAGCGGCCTATGTCCCAGTAGGGACGACAGGCAAACATGACATGATGATTGTTTATCTACAAAATAGACACTAACAGTTTTCTAAAGAACTAGCTAGAATATTTTATTAAGCTCATCAGGGAAGCTTAGATGAATCAACTTACCAGCCAATATATGAGCAGATACTCCCACAATGAAATGGGCCCGGTTAACGAGAGGTCGCTTGGGTGTGTCATTGTAATCACGAAACATGAACATGACTAGCTGTCAACACATTCAACAGTTGATTATTTATAACAATTAAAAATTAACCTGTTTAAACACAGGTTGACAAAATAGTTATTTTAATTTAATATTTTTTAATGGCATGACACATCCTGCTTCCAGACTCTCCAACTACAACTTAAATGCAAGAATTGTGTTTGTTCACAAATGTAAGATAACACAAATGAATCAAAAGTGTGAGTAGTTTTTGTACAAAAATAGATCAACCACCGAAAAGACTCACAGTAATGACTGTCAGGATCATGACAATGGCGCCTATTATAGGGTGGCTTGACACATACTCTGCCTCATTTTCTAGCTGGAATATGAATGTATTCATTCAAATTATGATGATAGATTTGAATTTATTTGATGCCTGAATTCATTAAGGAAACAATAGCATAGCTATTATTAATCAAGAAAGTAATAAAACTAAACATGAAAAGTCCCTTTTTAATTATAATTAAGCAGTTTTTTAACATTTGGCTGAATAGGTTATAGGCCAACTCTTTACAAGTTGACTCATTATTTTGTCTGCTTGATTTCTTGGTTAAAATACCTTTACGTCCGAGATTAAATTTTTAAATTTGGTAAGCAATAAAAAATTTCAAAGCATTTGTAGGTGACTTACATTGCTCCATGCTTTTTTCAGAACAATGGAGAAAACGGCAGTTAAAATACACACCGCAAGGAAACAAGAAGATATTATCTGCAAACATGAAGATACCAAGAACATACTGCAGTTTGCATATGAAATCTAAAATAATTTTAAGATATGATGAAGCTAATAATTCAAAGCTGTTTTGCTTTCATTAGTGTGATCGTTATTAAGTTAGGACTAACTAATTAAATATTGTAGGTTTTCAAGTTTCAGTAGGTCATATAGTAACATAAACTACAAGTTTAAAACATTAAAAAGTTTGAGAACTTCTATCAATGAGAAACACCAACCGTGTCCCAAACACCGAGAGGTAAAATTGTATTTTACAGTTTGCATGTGAAATCTAAAATAATTTTAAGATATGATGAAGCTAATGATTCAAAACTGTTTAGCATTAAGAAATTCATTTTTGCTTTCATTAGTGTGATCAATATTAAGTTAGGACTAACTAATTAACTAATGTACAACTGTAGGTTTCCAAATTTCAGTAGGCAATATAGTAACATTAAGTAAAAGTTTAAAACATTAAAAAGAACTTTAATCAATGAGAAAACACCAACCAGGAACCAAACTTTGAGAGATAAAATTGTATTTTTCCTCCCTGGCGTGTAAAATCTGGCAGTGATGATCCCAATACTTGAAAAGATCAACCAAGAGGCTACCATCAAACAGCCTATAGTGCAATGCAATGATTAATTTAAAATATTTAGAAAGACAATGCAAATATTTTTAACATTTGTAACTTTGAACTTAATAATTTACTGCAAAATGTTTGAGGGCACTGGAAAAAAGTAATGAGAAAAAGGCAATAAAACATTTCCTTTTATTTGAGTCATTAAAGCAGAAAACAAATTCCAGAAAAAAGTAGTGAACATCATAAGCCAAAGACTACACTACATATATTTTTGGCTTTGTAGCTGCCTACAAAAAATTAATTAAAAAACAATCCAAATTATAAAAAGGCAAACTATACAATTTATTGATTACCATGGAATTTATAAATATCATTATTTTGTTGTTTCGCATCAACATTTTCTGAATACTTTGAGGTAACAGCTGCTATAGAGATGTATTTTTCATTTAAATGGTTGGTTAAAATAACTTGTGAACCTGCAAAACAAATCAAAGAAGTAAATTAAATAAGATTTTGAAAAATATTATTTCAAATGGAAATAATTTTTGCATATACATGATGTGAGTATGAAACATTGGCATTCAATATTTATAACATTATGTTTGTATGCACATGATCATGGTCCCGTGAGTGAAACATGAATTTCATCATTTTTAAATACTGTATACATGAATACGTATAGGTGAGTAGCCTACAATACATGGTATTCATTAACTCACCCACAAAGGCTCTACCCCTGGCAAACAACAGGGTCCAGTTCTGGCTAACATCAAAACGTTTTCCTGAACCAGCTATAGGTCGACGGGTCGAACACGTCAGGACATCATCGTCATAAGATTGAGATATCAGTTTGACATTCTGAGATTTCAATTTGAAATATATAAAAATAATTTTAACTTGAAGAATAAAAATTTTGATTACATTTTTATAAGATAGATGCCACATTAACACAGTGGAGTGCAAGAACGCTGGGCTTGATTAAAATTGTCTGGAAAAAGTTGAGTAATTTAAATTTTAAAATATTAAATAATATTAGAGGACATTTTTTATAAAGCAGTAGCAGTTTTGTGTTAATTTTACATTATGTAGAGTGAATTACAGTAAACCAGATCAGTTAATCTACTAAATTAATGAACAAAAAAAAAAAACAACAACATAGCAATATGTTTATTTTTAAAAATATTTTTAATAAAAAATTAACTCACATCATCAGCAAAGGTAGAAGAAGTTTTCCCCAGATTTTCAGCAGTGAAGGACACAACTGTACCATTTGTACCAAAGGCACAACCCATCACACTGTCACCACCCTATAGAAATTTTAATGTTAGTATCACTTCATCATTAAGTTTTTAAACTTAGAAGCTTATCAACAAAACACAGAATAATAGAAATTTTTAAAAAAATGTTAGTATCAGCTTAACATAAAGTTTTTAAAGTTAGGGGCTTATCAACAAAACAGAATAATACAGCATAATATTATGCACAACTTTTAGCAAATTAAAAAATACTTTAAAAGTTATGAAAATCTAAAATACAGAAGTTTTTAAATTGTGATATTTAAAACATTTTTTTTTAAACTCACGAAAGGTTTATAGAGCATTACATAAAATAAAATAAAAAAAACTTGGGCCATATCCCATTTATCGTCAGTGTAAATCAAGCGGCATATCCAAACTACCAGCACAAAAATACTTGCCATGCTGGAGCCACTAGAAAAGCCAAGAGCTACATAGGAGCCATCAAAAAACCCAACAGCAGCTGTAAAATTGTAGACAACATCAGTTCCATCCTCCTTCCAGCTCACAATAAACTTGCAAGTGTTGCCAGTACAAGATGTGAAACATCCTTTAGTTTTACCATCACATTTAGGATCAGCAGGAACAGTTCCCAAACTCTGGGCTGGGGGAACTGAAAATTAAAAGATTATAACTTTGCAAATGAATTGATGGTGAAAAAAAATAATACACTAATCTGCTATAGAGTTTGTGAAAACTTTGTTCAATTAGCTTGAATATTTTTTTTATAAATAAAGTATAATAAATAGAGAAGAGTTGTTTCTCCTGCTTCGGGGTTTTAAATATTGCAAATCAGACAAAAATGTTCACATGAAAAACATCTCCAGAAACAATGGATTTGAATTTGTAATTTCGAAATAAAGTAATTCACTTTAATACATTAGTTTTTAACATTTAAAATACGCTAAATTTACATTTTATTTAAATAACACTTAAAAAACATTTAAAATGTAACAATTTCATACTGTTATACCTTATGTTTATCCAAAACTTGTAATAAAGGGCAACAATCCAATAAAAGATATATATTTTATTATTTTTATCTTTAAATCTAAATTATTCTAAAACTAGTTGTGTTAAGAGTTTCTTCCAGGTATCTCTTACAAAACTTAATTCAACATATTGAATTTTTATGACAATAATAATTTGAAAAAAAAACAACGTTTTGTTTTGTTTTGTTACAAGCTTTTATTTTTTTTTAAAGTTAACTTACCTTCTGTTGAGGCACCACTCGGGGCTAGTGTAGAATGGTTACTGGCTGTAGAAACAAACGCACGGGATGCCACATTGGTCCAAAATGTGAGCTCACTCTGCACAAACGTAGCTCTGGCCATAAAACAATACAACAATGTAGGAAACAGTGCGGTCAGCTGAATGACAAAAAAATTAACAATAATAAAAATAATAAAATAAAACCAACATTACAACTGTGGTATCTTGTCCAGATAAGCCCCCCCCCCCCCCCCCCGCCACTAAAGCAAAACGCGCTCGGGCGAAAAGATAAGCCTCGCCACTTTTTTTCAGCTCTAATTTAAATTTTAATGCGCGCACGCAACCTTGACCTATTTTTTAAGCATAGACAGTCGAATGTTTTAACTCACTCCGTAAATTCGTCTTCTTCTGCGTTCTTAACTGTTTGTGTTAGAAGAGTTTCTCTCCAACCAAATTAAGTGTATAGAAGGGATACCCTCCAACATAATTAAGTATAAGTGTCAACTGGTTATGCGCCATTGAGGCCATTGACTCCGATTTCAGCCTGCTTTTCTTTTTGGATTTGCTTCCATGGCATTTGTCCAACCAAGAACAAACTACAAGGCAGCAGTTGTTTGATTATGGAGTTGTCTCTCTTAGAAGAGTGGCTGTCCCTAGCTTTACCGACTCGACCACGCCGACCCCTACTCCATAAATTAAAACAACTCACCCGATCGACCTGTAGGGTTAGGTTTAGGGCTAGTGCTACGGTTAGGGGTAGGCTAAGGTTATGGATACGGTTTGGTTAGGGTTGGGTTTTGGTTAAAAAATATAAGTGCAAGTTTCATATCCTACTATTATAATTGTTTTTGGGCGGTGGGTTAACTTTTTGGCGATCTTATAGTTATTTGGCCATGATCCAAATTGTTTGTTACCTGAAGACAACATATCCCACATCTTCTGCTGGAGGTGACCAGATAAAAGTTTTACTGGACTTGTCTCTGCTCTCTGTATGGATCAGAGCTTGCTGGAAGTTGAAACAACGAAATCTCATTGTAACAGGCAAAAAAAAAAGTTTTTTTTTTACATCGGATTTTTCTTTATCTTATTCAGAAAACAAAAAGAGAATCAAGTGAATATTTCCGAAATGTCACTTACCACTTAAAAAAAAAAGAATAGTTTTACACATTTACTCACCCCATTACATCACCCCATTACATCACATTTACTCACCACATTACATCACCCCATTACATCACATTTACTCACCACATTACATCACCCCATTACATAAAATTTACACCCCCATTATATCACGTTTACCCACCCCATTACATCACATTTACTTACCCCATTACATCACACATTTACACACCCCATTACATCACACATTTACTCACCCCATTACATCACATTTACTCACCTCATTACATCACACATTTACTCACCCCATTACATAAAATTTACACCCCCCATTATATCACATTTACTCACCCCATTACATCACATTTATCCACCCCATTACATCACACATTTACTCACCCCATTACATCACATTTACCCACCCCATTACATCACATTTACCCACCCCATTACATCACATTTACACCCCCCATCCCATTAATCACATTTACACACCCCATTACATCACTATTACCCAAACATTACATCACATTTGCACACCCCATTACATCACATTTACTCATCCCATTACATCACCCCATTACATCACATTTACACACCCCAATACATCACCCCATTACATCACATTTACTCATCCCATTACATCACCCCATTACATCACATTTACACACCCCAATACATCACCCCATTACATCACATTTACACACCCCAATACATCACCCCATTACATCACATTTGCACACCCCATTACATCACATTTACTCACCCCATTACACGCCTGTCTAGTACCGGCTATAGCTGTGAACGACCCCAAGAGCTCATTAGATGAGCCGTCTGCCCGTTTAGCTTGGATCATGAAACCTTTGAACGTGTTACCATTTCCTCTCAGATGTACTGTGGAATGACGGTCCCAAGTAACTTATAATTTTGTTCTTTTTTAAATTTAACCCTCATAACCCCGTAAAATTTAGTCCCCTCCCCCTAACCCCGAAGAAAAACTGTCTGAAAGAAATACTGGTCGCATTTGTAGATTATACAGACTAAAGTTAGACCTTCCATCTATAATCTAGACACGGTTGCTAATTTTTGCCGCTAAACCTCAACCATGCACATCGTTAGGGTAGAATATGCACCATAGCACGCAGGTTAGCGTGCTAAGCCGAAAGTTTTGAGTTCGTATCCCTGACCTGAGTCCGTGGAACGTCACTGAGTCCACCCAGCCTAAATGGGTACATAGCTAAAGTTAGGGAAAGTAAAGAGGTCTAGGTTGACCTAACTATTCCTTAGTCATATGTAGAGGTCACAAAAACCGATGATTTCTAAATCATCTGCCTAATGGATCGTCAGGTCAGAAAGCGTAACTAAAATTTGCAGGTACGTTACTAGTTACCCATTCGCAGTTCTTGTCTTCGCTTTATGTTTATGGTGGACCACCATAAACCAGAGTTTCTTCCAGGCATCTCTTCGGGGTAGGGAATGGGGAATGGGGGTCGAAAAACATTTACCGCCCCCCCCCCCCTCCCCCCCCCCCCCCCCCCGAACGAAATGGAATTTTTACAGAAAATATATACTTTTAACAGTGACCTCCCTCCCATCGAAAATTTTAGTCCGCCCCCCCCCCCCCCCCAGAAAATTTTAAGAGCCCCCCCCCCTCTCCCGGAGAAAAAAGTCTGGAAGAAACACTGATGGTGGAATGGCATTAGGTTTCAACTGCCGCGCATTTATTTTGCAGAATACCTATATCCATATGTTCAGAACAACACGCACACAAAATACACTTTTAACTTAATATTTTTCCTCCTAAGAGGGAACGTTGGATAGGGCTAATTTAACATGTAAAGATACTTTTTCAGACCCAACTAGTGGTGTTTTTCTTTATTAAATTTATTTTTGCTAACAAAAAACAACAACTCACCAGTCACCTGTTGGCCAGGTGTGTATGACGTAGGTGTGAACGATATCGTGTAGGGAGGTGTCGAGGTTTTGGCGGGAGCACCGTGCTGTGGTACCATATCCGAGCAGGAGTTGTCTACGTTTGCACCGTCGGGAAAACAGACCACAGTCCCCACCCAGAGAACCAGCACCAAACCAATCGCCTGCAACATCACGGCCATCGTCCGATTCTCAGCTGCGAAATGAATTGTGTGATACATTCTTTGGTTTATGCCTAGTATGGCAACATAAAAATAATAATAAAACAATGCTGGATACAATATTTGTAAATTTATGTTAGCTAACATGTGTGCCGTTCTACAGGATGGGCGAATAACACTCTCAGTGTTTATTTCAGGTATCTCCCACCTCCTCCCCGCCCCTCTTGGACGAAATAGAAAAAAAATGTATAAATAAAATATATACTTTAACCATTATTTAACGAAGCGTCACCCTCCCAATAAAAAATGTGTGAAAGAAACCCTTAATATCCAGGAGCACCTCGTCATATTCAACACGGCGGCCTAGTTCGTATAGTCAGTATACAACACAGTGGTCACGTGCACACATTACAGTGCACTTGTGTCACGTGCGTCAAGTATGAGTAGAACACACCAACTAAGTCAATATACAACTTCGTGTCACGTGCGTCAAGTATGTGTAGAACACACCAACTAAGTCGATATACAACTTCGTGTCACGTGCGTCAAGTATGTGTAGAACACACCAACTAAGTCAATATACAACTTCGTGTCACGTGCGTCAAGTATGTTTAGAACACACCAACTAAGTCAATATACAACTTCGTGTCACGTGCGTCAAGTATGTGTAGAACACACCAACTACGTCAATATACAACTTCGTGTCATGTGCGTCATGTATGTGTAGAACACACCAACTAAGTCAATATACAACTTCGTGTCACGTGCGTCAAGTATGTGTAGAACACACCAACTACGTCAATATACAACTTCGTGTCATGTGCGTGATGTATGTGTAGAAGACACCAACTAAGTCAATATACAACTTCGTGTCACGTGCGTCAAGTATGTGTAGAACACACCAACTAAGTCAATATACAACTTCGTGTCATGTGCGTCAAGTATGTGTAGAACACACCAACTAAGTCAATATACAACTTCGTGTCATGTGCGTCAAGTATGTGTAGAACACACCAACTAAGTCAATATACAACTTCGTGTCATGTGCGTCATGTATGTGTAGAAGACACCAACTAAGTCAGTATACAACTTCGTGTCATGTGCGTCATGTATGTGTAGAACACACCAACAACTACGTCAATATACAACTTCGTGTCACGTGCGTCATGTATGTGTAGAAGACACCAAAAACTAAGTCAATATACAACTTCGTGTCACGTGCGTCATGTATGTGTAGAAGACACCAAAAACTAAGTCAATATACAACTTCGTGTCATGTGCGTCATGTATGTGTAGAACACACCAACAACTACGTCAATATACAACTTCGTGTCACGTGCGTCATGTATGTGTAGAAGACACCAAAAACTAAGTCAATATACAACTTCGTGTCACGTGCGTCATGTATGTGTAGAAGACACCAAAAACTAAGTCAATATACAACTTCGTGTCATGTGCGTCATGTATGTGTAGAAGACACCAACTAAGTCAGTATACAACTCAGTTGTCACCACACGCTCCTTGACCTTGGACACATTTGTCTCACCCATAGCCTCGTCTTAGCACCACCAGAAGGGGATGTTGCAAAAACATGTTAAGTTTTTGTTCACCAAATTATTGTACTTCATCGGAGTAGGGTTATTGCTGTAACTTCATTCCATACTATCGCAGTTTTTCAAAATTCATACTTTATCAATTTCTTTTTATTTATATCCGTAAAATATTTTTGTTATATGCCTATTAAATTCAATTTAACGTTGATTAATAATTGATTTGGTTTTCGTCATTTTTCTTTTATTTTTTTGGAAAAATTACAAGATTTGACCAAAAACGACCCAAATGATTGTGTGTCTTAAATAATAAGCCACTTCTAACAAACGAATACCATAACCATAATTTCATAAATAAACATATGTATAAAACACATTTGAATTCTGTGTCTTCAGCTACTGCTCTGTAAATTAGAAGAAAATGTCAGTAGTTGAAGTAACTGCTGACCCACCTTACTTTAGAAGATTACTTGGTCGATTGTGGAGCGAGTGTGACACACTAGGAAAGTGTTCTGGGGAGGAAAATTAGACACGGCTGTCCTTAGATCTAAATGATGTAGGCTAGTGTAACACGAGATAAAATTACGTGTAAAGTTGAATTAAGTTAATTAAAATGTCTACCTCACCAGTGTATGATCATTAGGAAAGTTTAGATTAATTAAAATGTTTACCTCACCAGTGTACGAGCAGTATCCAGATAAATTATTGAGGAAAGTTTAGACTAATTAAAATCTTTACCTCACCAATGTACGAGCTGTGAGCAGATAAAATAACAAATGGCAATACGATACTGAGTGACTTGTCCGAGTTAGACCTCTTGTGACGCTCACAGGAAAACACACACTCAAGACACATCCTACTTTCTTTAGATGAGTAAATGTTTGAAACTATGTGTGTGTGTAGAGGGGGGGGGGGGGCTTTAAAATTTTGGTGGACGGGGGGGGGGGGGGGAGTAGGGAGGTCGGACGCTGGTTAGATATTTTCTATAAAACAATACCGGGAGTGGGAGAGTAGACGTGCTCCGGGGTGACATTGCCCGCCATCCTCCATTTCCCGAAGAGCAGTATTTCTTCCCCCGAACGAAATGGATTTATATAGAAAATATATAGTTTTAACAGTGTCCGCCCACCTCCCGGAAATTTTAGCCCCCCACCCCCCGAAAATTTCAAGTATTTCAAGTGCCCCCCCCCCCTCGGAGAAAAAAGTGTGGAAGAAACACTGTCGAAGAAAGAGATGCCTGACAACTCTAGTCCCACAAACTCGAGCGAGTGAACCGATATGGAAGCCCTCAGGCAAGTAATCGTATGTTCAAACTGTCAACCACACCATCGTGTTGAAACATATTCGAACATCAGATGCTTCATAACATTGAGTAAGTAGCTGGAAACTTTTATTTCATTTATTGGGCAAAAATAAGTCGGTAAATGACAACCCGGAAGTAAAATTCTAAGGTGCCCCCCCCCTCACTTGACAAAAAATAGCAAGGTTATTTAGCAGAGGCGTATCCAGGTTTTTTCAGTAGGGGGAGCGAAATGAGCAAAAAAGGGGCCAAATTTTTAACATGTACTATATATATATATATATATATATATATATATATATATATATATATATATGTTACAGTCAAAGCCCGAAGTCGGCCAATCCGCGCATTGTCCAATATCGCTTCTCATTGTCCGGTCAAAGTCCGAAACTTTGCTTGATTTCGGCCTTTGGCTGGCCAGTCCGCGGACTGGCCATGGTGGACCGGCCAAAGTCTTAATTAGAAGATCATCAGAGCAGATTTTGGTTTTTTTTATTGCCGTGAGGATCATGAAATTAAGTCTTTATTGATTATTAATTAAAGTAAATGACAGAAACATTCAAATGTTTTATTGTGCTATAGTCTCAATCAATCAATATTATCATTTGTTACAACAAGTTGAACTTTTATGGCATTTAGAATTACATAGCAGCTTGTTATTTTTACACTTGCAGCGATTTGTTGTGCACTTGGTTGTGCAATTGCAGCGAGTGTAGCCTTGGCCCCCAGTCAATGATTGTGAAGATGCGATGGTTCGTAGTGATTTTTCGTCAGTGCCACCTGACGACAATAAGAGCAGTTTTTCGTGAAGAATTGAAAACTCATTTCTAGCATACAGTTGTTTTAGAACACCATGTTCCGTTCCTAATTTGTAGAAACCGCCATCGACGCTCATGACAACTGCAATCACGCTTTGGGGATCACCGCGACCTCTGTAAACATCTGGAACACGGATGCGTACATTGTCACCCACTTCACCATCTTTAAATTTTGTATTTGATGTTTTAAGCATCTTAGCACCTTGATTTTGCAAGCTGGTATGAGCTGCTGACCTATGCTCCATGATGTCTTGTTTGTTGTGACACAATCTGCAGGTAATGTTCCCTCCGTACCCTTCGTCTGCTTCATTGGGTACTCCACAAATAGCATGGACATCTTTGCCACAGGATCCACAAGAATGAGCTGCACTACAATGTTTTTCACAAACTATACAGAATCTGTTGGCCACATTATTGTCACGCAACTGGTCTGGACGTTCCGCCACGGCAGCAGATGTGTTAGCTGAGGATGTAGTTGCATTTATGGCAACCTCCATTTCTTGTTCAATGTTCTCAAGATCTTCCTCAGTAACTATTTTATTGAGAGCCTCTCTTGGTAGATTTGAAGTGCTAAGTCCCACTTTTGCTTTGCATCCAAACAAGGCTTCGTATGGTGATTGTTGGATTCCTTGATGAAAAGAACGACTTTTCATAAATTGAATGAATTTGAGACTCTCGGCCCAATGAGCTGATTCATTTGTTTGCATCCATGTCATCATCATGTTTTGAACATCTTAGTGGCACGTTCGACTGAACCTTAGCTTTGGCTATGCCTTGGTTTTCCGTAAACTAGTTTAAGTTCAGGCCACATGTTCTTTAGTTCATGTTGGGGAAATATGGTTTCTGACGCCTACGCCATCTCAAGTAGCTTGGACACTATTGTTCAACTTACAAGGAACGCGGCAAAGTCTTTTAAACGTTCCGTCTTGTTGTATCTGCTATGTCTGTCTCATGGTCTGACGGCCATTTTGATCCATGTCGCCTTGCATATAGAATGCTATACAAACAAGAGCTAAACAATACGTTACTCACAATAAAACCGCACCCAGAATAATGAAAACGCGATCACAACTTAGTCTAGATAGAACATTGGCCAGGACATCCCGGCCAATGCGCGCATTGGCCGGTCAATGTACAAAATACGGTGTTAAGTTTAAGCACTTCGGACTTTGGCCAGTACGTCCCGGTCAGTGCGCGCATTGGCCGGCCAATGTACGAAATACGATCTTAGTTCTAAGTTCTTCGGGCTTTGGCCAAGAGAGCCGGCCAATCCGGGGTTTGGCCGCACTTCGGGCTTTGACCGTAACATATATATATATATATATATATATATATATATATATATATATATATATATATATATATATATATATATATATATATATATATATATATATATATATATATATATATATATATATGTGTGTTACGGTCAAAGCCCGAAGGCGGCCAATGCGCGGATTGGCCAATATCGCTTCTCATTGTCCGGTCAAAGTCCGAAACTTTGCTTGATTTCGGCCTTTGGCCGGCCAATCCGCGGACTGGCCATAATAGACCGGCCAAAGTCTTAATTAAAATATCATCTGGCTAGGGACGACCGGCCAAAGTCCGAATTAGAAGATCATGAGCAGATTTTGTTTTTTTTTATGCCGTAAGGATCATGAAATTAAGTTTTTATTGATTATTAATTAAAGTAAATGACAGAAACATTCAAAAAAATCAATCAATATTATTATTTGTTACAACAAGTTGAACTTTTATGGCATTTAGAATTACATAGTAGCTTGTTATTTTTACACTTGCAGCGATTTGTTGTGCACTTGGTTGGGCAATTGCAGCGAGTGTAGCCTTGGCCCCCAGTCAATGATTGTGAAGATGCGATGGTTCGTAGTGATTTTTTCCTAAGTGCCAACTGACGACAATAAGAGCAGTTTTTCGTGAAGAATTGAAAACTCACTTCTAGCATACAGTTGTTTCAGAACAGCATGTTCCGTTCCTAATTTGTAGAAACCGCCCTCGACGCTCATGACAATTGCAATCACGCTTCGGGGATCACCGCGACCTCTGTTAACATCTTGAACACGGATGCGTACATTGTTACCCACTTCAGCATCTTTAAATTTTGTATTTGACTGAACCTTGGCTTTGGCTATGCCTTGGTTTTCCGTGAACTAGTTTAAGTTCAGGCCACATGTTCTTTAGTTCAGAAATAGCTTGAAAACACGAATACTGTTAAACTACTATATTACATTCTTAAGTAATTATTGTTTTGTTTTGACATTTATAATTAAATATGTAGATATATACATATTTAAATAAAGATCGTGATTATTTCCCCCATTTCGCTTGTCTTAATTAATGTCCCAGGAATTATTTTGTAAAAAATTGTTTTTACAAGAATGACAAAATAGATTGTGTTGCGTTTATTGTTTTTGGTTGTTGTATATATATATATATATATATATATATATATATATATATATATATATATATATATATATATATATATATATATATATATATATATATATATATATATGTTACGGTCAAAGCCCGAAGTGCGGCCAAAGCGCGGATTGGCCGGCCAATGCACAATGGCCGGCTATCTTGGCCAAGGTCCGAAGCGCTTAAGCTTGACAGCGTATTTTGTACATTGGCCGGCCAATGCGCGCACTGGCCGGGATGTCCTGGCCAATGTTCTATCTAGACTAAGTTTTGATCGCGTTTTCATTATTCTGGGTGCGGTTTCATTTTAAGGAAGGTATTGTTTAGCACTTGTTTGTATAGCATTCTATATGCAAGGCGACATGGATCAAAAGACAAATACATTTCTATTATAGAGGACGTCATCATCATGTTTTGAACATCTTGGTTGGCACGTTCGACTGAACAGTATTCGTGTTTTCAAATATTTTTTTTGTCTACAATCAGAATTAAATATATCGTCATCATAAATGCTAAAGTATTACAGCATAATGAAAGTTTTTAAAATCAGAGTTGGTAGAAAAACATCCGGAATAATAACTTACATTGTACTAAATTATCAGTCTTTTATTTCAAACCATACATCTTTTAATTAACTACTGCTTTTTGTGTTCTTTAAAGATCATTTTTAAACATAGTGATCAGGTATGGGTTAGATTACTGTATTGATCACACACCTTTTTACTGGTAATTGCAAAAACAATATTCACAGAGTTTTACCTGATTCAAAAGCTATGATTCTGGCAGCATGGTACTTTGGTAAAGCATTACGCGTTTTCCCAAAGGTACTTAACAGATCAGTTCGGGGTGGGTTGGGAGGGGGGGGGGCAACTTCGTTCACCACTGTCCGGTCAATTATCCAACCCAGTGTATACCTAGGTGTGACATTAATGTCACTCTACACAATTGTGTGTGTGTGTGGTGAACAGAGTGAACATAGCGTCAGTTTTTAGATGACTGATCTAAACATACATATTCAATTACACATTTATACTGATTGAGAAATAGATTTAAATAAGTAGCAGTGGTATTATGACACTATGTTTTTACAGAGGGGTCCATGGGGGGAGGGGAGGGGTTGTAACTGTTTCATATAATTTGTAATCGTAATCACTTTCGCCCAAACTGTCGTAATACTACTACTTTATCGTGATGACGTTGTTGACCTTGTCAAAATTTCCTCACCACTACGCAGTTTGCCCAT